GAGTGCTTGACCAGGAATCAGTAAATCCAGTTTTTATTCCCTCATACTCCATAGCTTTCTTCTGTTACTTAAAGAAATCATTTAGATTCAGATCCACAAAGGGATTTCAGCACTTCATGTCTAATTCATATGGATATAAAATAATCAAATCCAAGAGCATAACCCTTAAAGTTCACCTCGTCCTCTGGATGTTTGAAGTTCAATGGCATTGATAATTTCACAACTGAAGTTCCCGAGGCCCCTAAGCTTCCACTTTTGAGCATATCTAGAATCACCCCCTTGCCGATGCCGAAAAACTCAGCACTTTTCTCAGGCTAAGGCCAAGCTCTGGCATTTGATTGGAAGATACATTCCCCTAGGGATGCTTGAAGGACACTTATAGCACCTGCACAGGGGCTGGATGTTGGTGAAAACAGCAGCTCACTGCAAAAAAAAATTGTAAGAGATTTCATGTAAACACTCTCCTTCCACCTTACTTTTTGAGTTTTTGTATTCCTTAAAAAAAAGATCATATGCTCAGAGTCCTACCCAGGAGGAAAGAGAATCAGAAAGACATTGACCGAATTTTCCTCTCTTCCCCCATGCTTAAAAGATACATCACCTCCAGGTAACCCTCCACCGGGGATTGTCTTCACCGTGAGGTTAAAGACAATGTTTAGAGAGGTGCTATTTCTCTTCTGAGGCCACTTCACTTTGTACCAATTCAATGAATGTTCAAAGGTGAGCGAGAGAAACAGGTGGGGGCCTGACTACAGCTTATGATTAATTCAGCTTAATAATCAGATAACTTACCCACAAGGAAGGAAATAAGGTTTCTGACTCAAACTTCTAGGTGTAGTTATGTTTCACTAAATGACTGACTGATGTTCAGTACCTCAAAAGCTGTGAGCACAGAAGGGCTCTTCCCTGATTAACCTATGAACAGGAGGTTTCACCCTCTCTTTTATTTTATCTCTCTCCTAAGTTTGTTCTTCGTGATCTGGTGGTTCCCAAATTCTTTCCTAGTGCCTAACAGAGGGTGCTGGATTCATCCTGAGCAGTATGGGAAGACATCTGAGTCGAGAGATCTTGTGCCAGAGGTGAGTGCTCTGACCACCTGATGGTGGTGGTGATGTCTAATCCTTCATTCAGGTATTCTGAGAAAAGGAAACATAAGTGCCTCTCATAACAGCTGAGTGATAAATCAGGAGCAGAGACAGGGAGGTGCATCCCTGAAGCCTTGAGTGAGGCACATGAGCTCCACCAGTGGCCTCAGGCACATCAGTCCTGGTTTGGTGAGTGAACTTAGCACAGCTCCTCACACAGCATAGCTTGGCATTAGTAGGGGCTTGCTGGCATGGTTCTGCAGTGTGAGTGTAAGAAGTACCTCATATGGAAAAAAATCATGCAAGTTTTAAAAATTTTAGTCATCATTTTAAATATAACTGTCTTGGCATTTGTCTAGGTGGAGAATCCTATTTCACTCTTTGTATCAGATCCTCATTCACCCATGTTAGAGGACTGTCCTGAAGAGACAACTGTATGGGTCAGCCGCCCCTTAGGCATCTGGTATTTCTCCAAATGACAAACAAGTCAACAAAGCCTCTTCCCTTCTGATGCTCATTCTCGTTCAATCTTTTGGGGGAAGTGTGCAACAAACAAAGCTCCTCAAGATTATGCTGGGCTATCTCTGAGGGGACAGCTGATTTGGCAGAGAGGAGAAGGCTCTAGATCCTATCGATGCTTCTCCATTTTTTGATCAGCCAAGTCACTGCATTGGACATTAGAAAAATAGGAGGTGAGCTAAGCTGTTTCAGTTTTGCAGCTTGAGAGGAAATGAGACAGTCAATTCTAGTTACATGTTGAGGAAATAAAAATAAGTACATCTGTAATCTGTCCTTTAAATTTTGAACAGTCTTAGTTTCAGACATGCTTTTTCTGTACGCAGGAAGGGTAGTGCAAGCCTGGCCTGGCTGCAGGGAATGGTCTCTGTACACACGCACACCTGGTCATCAGAGAAGACTCTGTGTAGGTGAATGAGAGAAGTTGTTATCCATTATTCATCATTTATTAGTTGTCATCCTGCTTTATAATGACTTCAGCCATCTCGTCAGGAAGCACAGATGCTACTGTGCAACTTCCCTCTCCCACACAGCAGTGAATTGTCAAGGCAGATAGTTTCGAAATACCCTACAGATGGCAAACTGCTTATATGCATTTCTAGCAAATACAGAAACTTTCTTTTTTAATAGTGATTGGGATCCCAATTCAGAATTTAGAAACTGTTTCCAAGAAAAAAAAGCACGATGAAGTTCTCAGATACCTTCTGCACAACTCACCTGATTTCCAGGTGCAGTTGGGGTGAAAGGTACAGCGGACATAGCTACAGCATCTTGGGTCTTTCATCCTTCTGAAGGTCTGCTAGACTTATGTCTCTCCCTCAGCGACTCTGACTCACAACTCTTCTTTCTATTTTCTTCCACTGTGATATTTACTGTATTTTTCATACTGTGTACAGAAGGGCTTACACACAAGGCTTGAATGTGTCAGCAATTAATTTTGTTGAACCAAAATGTCACTGCTGTCGCACAGCTTGATGGAGCAGGACAGTGCTTTTCCTGGCCCAGCCCTTGTCAGAGCTCAAGTGTCTATTAGCCTGCTATCCCAATTTTTCTATAGCCATTTAATCTGAATGTCATTGTACTACACTGATTCCTTTCCTTGTCACATTTACTCACATTGCTGCTGGAGCTCAGAGTTTTCATGTCTTGTTTGCAGGTTTGTGAGCTTTGCTTAGGGGCATGTCACAGATCAAATGAGAAGCTCCAGCCTAGTCTAAAATCTGAACACAGAAAAACATATTTAAAATATCTTGGTGACTTCAAGGCTATGAAGGAAAACAAGAACATTATTTTCCTGATCATTCTTATTTACAGTTTTCTTAAGTGCAACCCTGTGAGTTCCTGGCAGTGCCCAAGCTGTTTGCACAGACCATGTGTATAGTCTGGAGACATGTCAAGCCCTGTCCCCATGGCTGCCAGTGCAGCCAAGTACTGTCCTTACTAGAAAATATTTAGTGGAACATAACCCAAAGATGTTTCTCTGGTTATGCACGGTTCTTCACTGGCTGCAGAGCTGTATAGTGATCTTTAAAGCATCCAAAAGCAAATGGCTACATGCAATTGAAAAACAGGCCAGTGACTTAAAGAGTATAAGTTAAGAGGAACATCATGCCAAATTGCCAAATTGCTACTGCACTGTTCAGAAAACAGCTTAAGGTTAAAACAGTAACTTTATACCACCACAGGGTTTGAACTCATTCGTAACTGGCAAGGGCATGTTAGTTTTAACAGCTTTCAGTAACATTTGTGGTATTTTTATATTGATCAAGGGACTGATTTAAGTTATAAAAATGTATTATTACAGCCTGTATTTGAAGAATGCTCATTTATTTCATGGCCCCAGTTCTTCAGTGAAGGCATTTTGGATGAAATCCTGCCTGTACCAATCCCAGTGCCCTTGCTTTTGGCGAGACCCCTCCTCACCTGTTTGCCCGTGATTTCTGGGCTGGGACTCACAATTTCCCCATCACACAGAAGACAGCTCCAAAGAGTCCCTGATTGCTAAAAATGAGTCAGACCGAATTCATGAGTGTTTCTATGTACCATTGGCTTCAGGGGGCAGCCAGAAACACTTCGAGGCTCTTGGGGCTCCACCACACCTCCCCAGCTCCCCGCTCCAGGCTGAAGCCATGTGTGGTCTGTGGTTTGCTGGACTGAGCATTGCCTTTTCCCTTGCTCCTTCTGTCCCTTTTGCTGGCCTGGTTTGAGTCAAGAACTTGTCTCTGGCAGCAGCAGAATTGAGCTCTCATGACCCCAGAGGGCCCTTAACCATCGAAAGGTTGTTTCCATAAGCTCCCTGCCCCTGATTTCCTACCCTCTCCTCTCTTGTGGAATTGATAGCAATCAAAGCCAAACTTTTGATGCTTGGGAAATCAACTCAATGACTAGAGAGATCAATAAGCACTTGTGTATCCCTATTATGTGCATAAACAAAGTCAGAGCCGTAATCATCATTATATATCCAGAAAGTCTGGGATTTGTATGCATATAGCTTTACCATCAATGTTGTGTCCACTATATATTTATTGCACTTTATCATTTGTTGAAGGAAGATCGCATGACTCAAAAACTTGGTTTCTTTATTAAAAGGACTGCACAGAGCTAGCACTAAATGTTCTGTCACAAAGATATTTGAACATGTTTTCATCTTTTCGGAAGAACTTCTTCCCAGTAAGGGTACCAGAACACTGGAACAGGCTGCCCAGAGAGGTTGTGGAGTCTCCTTCTCTGGAGATGTTCAAAACCTGCCTGGACGCGTTCTTGTGTGATCTGATCTAGGCAGTCCTGCTCTGGCAGGGGGATTGGACTAGATGATCCTTTGAGGTCCCTTCCAATCCCTAACATTCTGTGATTCTGTGATTCTGTGATGTTTTACCTCTGAAAAGCGAGATGGCCAATGCTCTCATGCAGGAGTTAGGAACTCCAGGCCGAACTAATGTACTTGGCTGCTTTATTTCTATACTGAATGAATTTACATTTGGATAAAGAAACTAAAAAGCCCTGAGGCTCTTTTCTCATGAAAGTTTATCTTTCCATTACACTAATTAGTTTGAAACTTCACGAAAATTTGCGAAGTTCATTTCACAAGCTGTCCTGAAGAATTGAAATATCAGAATGAATTACTTCCTTAAGGAAATGATTTCTTTGTACTTTCTTTCTAAATTACCCTCATTAAAAATATACAATGTTATCCTAGAGAAGTAGACCAAAGCACTGCAATGTTAACTATTGAAAGACATAGAGTTTTGTACTGTGGCTATGATACTTTCTTTTAGAGGGGCTGTCTTAAGTATTAAAAACAAATGCATAAATGCTTTTATACAAGAAAAACTTTTAGAAATACTTTTTCTAAGAGGCTGTTTGTAAACTCTAAATTTCTAAAGAAGTCTGTCTGCTTACCTGTGTTAAAACATGAAAAGTATAGGCATAAAATGGTCTGGAGTAAACAAAAACAGGCAAAACATAGTCTTTTCTAGCAATTGAGGCAACCCGTATTGCCTCCTTAACCCGATAGTGAACAAATTTTAGTGCGTTTGGACTCGACTTCAGTATATAATCCAGGTATATAGAAGGGTAGAGAGCAGTGCTTTCCTTCCAGAGCCAAAGCAGGAGGTCATTGCGGAAAGACTCAATGGCTGGGCATTTCCCCGTGTACGTTTGGGGGTGTTCTTTGTAATCATAATTGTAGCAGTCTGGGTAAAGATAGTAACCCCACAAACCGTTTGGTCTCATATGCTCAGCCAGAAGGATAGTGTTGTTCATAAAACTCTTGCCAGCATTTTCAAATTCCTCCTTAGCCACTTTCCTAATTTTGTCCTCTGACCACTGAGGATGCCGTCTCCTAACCATCTCAAGAGATTTATTTCTATAAATGCTTTTATTGCCCCAGTTCCTATCCCACTGGGGCCTCCAGTTTTCCCAGTCGATGACTGCGAGTCCCTGAAATTTCTTCATGGGTATGCAATAGTCAATGTCAGACTTTGCTTTATTAAGGTGTTTGATAAGACTCTCGTTCTGGGGCACCCCTCCATTTACAGGATCTCCGTTATCTGAGTAGTAGGGATAGTATCCCAAATGAGTGTGATAGAAGATTGTCACATTGGACCCACTCAGAGTCTCATTGGTGTTGGATGCAATGTCAAAAACACTGAGATCCAGGTCCACCTTGTACCGTAGCCTGCACTGCTCGGTCGGCGCATTCCAAACAACCATGAAAGGCTTGTGCAGAGCCAGAGGGGCCCGTGCAGGTTTCAGCAGCCGAGCATCAACCATGGCAAGCAGCACCGTCACTGCCAACCCTTCAACGCAAACATCCATGGTATGCTTTTTTCTGGGAAATTGTTACGATATGTCCTTGAAAACAAAAACGAGAGAACACATTAGAAGTGTTAGAAGTAGCCACCCTGGAAGCAGATGAAATGACAAAGGGATGCCTTTTGGTTTGATTTGTTTTGCTAACATTATACTGGTGTGAACAGAGATAAGCACAAAACTGTGATTTTGTAAAAACTAAGTCTAATTTCAAATGCTTTGAAAGATTTTTTGATAGGCTTTGCTGTGTGGAAGTGTGTTCTGATGCTCAGCTTTTTCTCATTTTCTTCTCACTTAGACATCTCCCACAGTTGATTCAGACCTTTCCTTAACACTTATTTGCTTCCTGATATCTAAAAAAAAAGAGTTAATAAAAGAATAACTCAAAACAACAGCATGAAAAAAGAATGTGCTGCTTATTTGAAATTCCAACTTCCAAGCATGTTCTGCTACAGTTAGTCTGACTTGTCTAGAACATCACCAAAGCAGGGCTAAGGCCTTCTTTACTATCTGTATATGTTAACGGTCACAACAGGAAAGCGATTTAAACAAAAGGCAGACTCTTGTACCTCACATAGATTGATCAAGAGAACTCAGAAAGGCTGCAATTCTCAGCATATCTGAAAAAAAGTGTATTGTTATCTACTCTTGAATTTAATTTTCATTTTCTAAGCAAATAGATGCAAGAGTGATAATCAGTGAGCAGGCTAGAAGGGTGATGCTGTTAATGACTTCATGGTTTAAGCTACCTGTTATACTGAAAGGAAATTAAATATCAATATGTTAAAGAAAATACATTATGTCAAGCAGATCTGAACTAGCCAGAAAAGCATGCTGGGACCAAGGGACCAAGTCTATAGAAGTGGGGGCTTATTAGTATTAATTTTTCCTTTCAGGGTCTGCTGTTTTCCTTGACAGTCGTACTGGCTTGGGGACTACTTGTACTCCCTGGAAGTGTTCAAGGCCAGGCTGGATGAGGCTTTGAGCAACCTGATGTAGCGGAAGGTGTCCCTGCCCGTTGCAGGGGGGTTGGAACTATATGATCTTTGAGGTCCCTTTCAATCCAAACCATTCTATGATTCTATGATTCTACTCCGGGAGCTGCCAGAGCTGCAGGGCTGCTGGCACCCCAGGCACCCACACCCCCAATTTGCACCCCATGGGGCAGCTGTTCACCCGCTGCTCACAGTTGGCTGCTCCAGAATCTGCCCCTGCTCATATCCCTTTTCCAAGAAGCACAGCTCAACTCTGTCCTTGGTTTGTCACTCAGGTCTCTTTGCTGGGGAGTACCACACCTATTACTGGCACTGATGAGCAAACAATGCATAGTGGGGTCCAGCTGATATACCAGCTTGAATCCAGAGATGGTAAAAATTGTTCGCTCTTATGAACATCACTGCATCTATAGTATGAGATGGTTTATGCTCTCATTTGCTATCTTCTATCATTCAGCTGTCAAGTTTCCACATTTTAGTCCCCTGCTAAATCACTGCAATCACTATCTGCACTGCAGATTCAATTCATGCACCGGTCATGTGAATTTGAAATGTCTTGAAACTGGATATTTCCCTATTTTTGCATGCATTTTTAATTATTTGCTTTCTTGCCTGTAAAGTCGGACCCAGGTTATCCTAGCCCAGCTTCTCTTGTCCTCGGTAGTTGCTCACTCACTTAACATCAGTTAACTGATGTTGGAGGCCTGTATTCAGTGGAGTCCCTCAGGGGTCGGTACTGGGACCAGTATTGTTCAACATATTCATCAATTACTTGGATGAGGGAATAGAGTGCATGGTCAGCAAGTTTGCTGATGACACTAAACTGGGAGGAGTGGCTGACACACCTGAAGGCTGTGCTGCCATTCAGAGAGACCTGGAAAGGCTGGAGAATTGGGCAGAGAGAAATTTAATGAAATACAACAAGGGCAAGTGTAGAGTCTTGCATTTGGGTAAGAGCAACCCCATGTACCAGTACAAGTTGGAGACTGAACTGTTGGGGAACAGCACAGGGGAAAGGGACCTGGGGGTTCTGGTGGACAGCAGGATGACCATGAGCCAGCAATGTGCCCCTGTGGCCAAGAAGGCCAATGGCATCCTGCGGTGTATTACAAGGGATGTGATTAGTAGGTCGAGAGAGGTTCTCCTCCCCCTCTACTCTGCCCTGGTGAGGCCGCATCTGGAATATTGTGTCCAGTTCTGGGCCCCTCAGTTCAAGAAGGACAAGGAACTGCTTGAGAGAGTCCAGCGCAGGGAGGATCTCCCTAATGAGGAAAGGCTGGGGGAGCTGGATCTCTTTAGCTTGGAGAAGAGGACACTGAGGGAGAACCTCATTAATGTTTATAAATATGTAAAGGGTGACTGTCATGAGGATGGAGCCAGGCTCTTCTCACTGGCATCCAATGATAGGACAAGGGGAAATGGATATAAGCTGGAACATAGGAGGTTCCGCTTAAACATGAGGAAGAACTTCTTCCCAGTAAGGGTAACAGAACACTGGAACAGGCTTCCCAGAGAGGTTGTGGAGTCTCCTTCTCTGGAGACGTTCAAAACCCGCCTGGACGCGTTCTTGTGTGATCTGATCTAGGTGGTCCTGCTCAGGCAGGGGGATTAGACTAAATGATCCTTTGTGGTCTCTTCCAATCGCTAACATTCTGTGATTCTGTGATCTTGTAATCACTTAACTCCTTTCCTAGACAAGGAGAGCTCTTGACACCTACCCGTCCATTAGCTCACAGCTGGGATCCCTTGATTTCTGGCTTTCCAAATCAGTATAGAAAACACACTAAATACTAGATTTTGTAATTCTCCTTGGATATTGCCTTTTAATCTGTAACGGGATGCCAAATCTACCGGAAGGCTGCAGGTATCCCTATGCAAATCTGCCAGCAGAATTTATTAAAGAAAAAATCTTTTCCATTGTTTGAAAAATATTGAAATGTTGAAAAATATTGTGCATTATATAATCCAGGATTTCTTCCCCTGTCATTTTTCCTTCCTTGCCATTTTTCCATCCTCTGGGTTTGGTGTTTCTCTTCATATCTGCCACTGCTCTCCTGATCTTCTGCCTTTCCCAATACGGTGGTCTGGTACAAGAGCACCTTCCCAGGAGGTGGAGGAAGGCAATTTGCCTTAAGCAATAGGTAGGGGCAGTAAGTGAAGAGCAGGACTGCAAGAAGCCCCAATGCAGGACTCCCCAGGGATGAGCCCTCATTAGCAAGCTAGAAATGTATGTTCCTGTTATTTCCTCACCCATTCTCTGGCTGCTTGCTTTGCATGCCTAAATATAGATTCAGCACCTATGTTTTAAAACTTTTCTCACAATCTTTTAGATCCTATTAAGGAGAACATCCTTGAGTGAAACGGGCCATTGCTACAGGCCATCAAGCTGGTGCTATGTACAAGTGTGCCTGTTGGAAAAGGATGCCAGATTGTTTTCACTCCACTGATCTCCTGGAAGTCTTACACTTGCAACTGGTATCTTTTTCTCTGTTTTCCTGCAGAGTTTTGCATAATCATCTAATCAATGTCATAGGCTGGGGAAATAAATAAAATTTTTAAAAGCCACGAAAAATGCCTTTCCCTTCCCATTTTATACAAACTGATGAATGCATCATCGTATTTTGCATTCGTTTTTTGTTGCAGCAAACTGACTTAGTACATTTGTAAGTGCTTTCTAATCATTTGGACTGGATTGCTTTGCAGTGCATGAGAACAAGCCTACACATCTAAACAAAGATTTTCTCAAAAATTGATAGCTTAGATGAAATGGGAAGAGCACCAGGAGAGAAAGAAAAGACCTTTAGTGAATTTCTTTGTAAGAAAAGGTCTGGGAAAAGATCCCAGCAGCCCATTCCCACAATCCAAATGCTGATATTGTTCAGCCTTGTGTTATTATGTATATATAATTAGATCATTTTGTCAGGTATTAATGACTAATACAGTACAGTCCTTGTCTAGATCTGACAGCCCTAGGCACTATGATATTGCAGATAATAAATCATAACAGAGATAGGCCAGGAAATAACAGTGCAGGATAATTTTAAGTTATATCTTTAGTTCCTGGCCAATTCTTGTCGCTGTCCCTGACAAGGTTTTAAATCACAGAATGGTTGAGTTTGGCAGGGACCTCTGGAGGTCATCTGGTCCAACCCCCTGCTCGAAGAGGACCACCTAGAGCCAGTTGCTCAGGACTATGTACAAAACACCACAAGCGACAAAATAAAAATGTTTTATCTTGGGACATGTTGAATCATTCTCAAGGGTCTTTTAACTGGATTGACCAAATGTTCGTTGAAGCTTTGAAGAAGCCTGGACACCTTGCTCAACTCTAGTTCTGCAGGTGTCTGAATCTGCAAGCTGAATCCCACAAAAAAAAGACAGGAATCTGTCTAATCCTGTTCAAGCTGTGCAGAAGTTAGGAGTCTGGCCAAGGACAGTCCTTCAGGGTCCTCCAGCAAATACTGGATATCTCCCAAAGCTACTATGAATTTGCTATTTAAAGCTATATGCAATTAGTAACCCAGCTAGAAAACGAGGTGATAAGTGCCCAGATAACATGCCTACCTTTTAGATGGCTAAAGCATCTCTTTGCAAAGCATCTCACTTTTTTTCCCTACTACTGTCTATTACACACAGGTGACATTCCCATATACACAATTCTTTAAAAAGGAGACAATTCCAAAAAATTATCCTTTGAAAAAGTTCTGATTCAGTTACATTAATCTGCAATTAATTCTGATGTTATTTGCACATGAGAATTTAATTACAGGTGCTAACTTTTCCTTTAAAATGCCATCAGAATCCAAGTGAAACAAGTTTTCAAAGAAACAGGTAAGCCTATAGTTCTGAAAGAGGGGAAAATAAATTATCTGGTGTTTCACAAATGCACTAAAGAACCTCTAAAAAAGAACAAAACGTCTTTTATTACAGTTTCCACTGCTGTATCTTTAGACTATGGCCTTTTCA